AGCCAGCGTGCCAGAGGCTAACGCTCAGTCGAAGGATGCAACCAAAGCCTGCATCAAAGGAGGCCAAAAGGCCAATCGAAGGAGCTGAATCGAAAAGACTTGTTTTTTCTCCAATTTTGTCAAAAATATTATTTTTATCTATTTTCCCCTTTTTTTAACAGTCTCCCTTCTAACTTGATACTGGAAAATCCAATTGTACTTGTGCAAGCTTGGATCTTTGAGAACCCTTGTGAGAAATGCTTTGAAAAATGAGAGGGCAAATTTTGGGGTACAACAGCCGGGATACGGTTTCTTCCCCGAAGGTGACAAAAAGTTCAACGTACCCCCATAGTTTGGAGTTCGAGCTATTGAAGCCTTACAGGTCGGACCCCACGTATGTAGAAAGGTGGGTGTTGTCGAGCTGTAAGGTTCGGAACAGATGGTTGTACATAACATCGACAGAACTTCCCTCGTCAACTAAGACGCAATGAATGTCGAAATTAGCCTTTCTTTCCCTCACCAACAGAGGGATGATCGAGTTAGGGGCCCCTCCAGGAAACTCTTCGAGGTAGAACGTGATTGGTTTTGATCTGCCATTGACCTTCTCGAATGTCACCGCTTGAGTCGGGGCTGCGTCGACCAACTCGTTGAGCTTTCTTTTTGTGGAATTTATGGAGATGTCGTTAAACCTCCTGTGCATGGACAGAGGTTCCTCCTCGTATCTGTCGGGGACATAGAAGTCCTCTGGCCTTGTAAGGAAGAAAGCTATCTGGACGGGGGCCGTCTCATCCGATGGTCGGGTGTCCTCCTCGACCTCTTTTGTCTCACAGGCATCTCGGTGAGGGGCGTCATTCCATCGATATTTCTCAAGTCTGCCACCCTTGATGAGGGTTTCCATGGCGTCTTTGAGATAGACACAGTCTTCAGTCATGTGCTTGTGACTTTGATGGTACTGACAGTATTTGCTTCTATCAGCCCCGAGCTTCACAGGAGCAGAGCAAGGGCATTTGACGTCATCGTCCTTGAAGTCGCTATTAGCGCACTCCTCCAGGATGTGCTCGCAGGAAGCGGTCAACAAAGTGTATTTGGTGAATTAGCCCGCGAGTCCCCTATACCCGCGGGGATCACTCGGTTTATCCTCCCTTCTCTTCTCGCATGTTCATCGAGGAGGGCCTACATCCTGGTGTCACAGGGTGTTGGCCGGTCTGCGATTCCTTGGGTCGTGGGCTCTATTGGTCGCCTCCCTCTCCTTGTAGTCCATATAGGCCCTGGATTTTTTTAGGAGAGCATCGAAAGTCCGTGGTGGTTCGATGTCGACGGCCTTCCTGAACTCTGTGTCTGGGAGGAGTCCTCTCTCGAGCAAATATTTCTTAATGTGATCGGTGCACAGGACCTGAATGGCCTCGCAGTTGAACCGATCGATGAATTCCCTGAGGGTTTTGTCGCTTCTTTGGACGATAGCCTCAAGGGAGGCCTCAGTCTTCGGGTGTCGATGAGATGTAGTAAAAGAGCTGATGAACTGGCTCTTTAGGTTCCTCCAGAAGGTGATTGACCCTGGGGGAGATTCTTATACCAGTCCATTGCAGTCTTTCTCAAGGTCGTGGAGAACAACCGACATTTGATCGGTTCCGCGACGTTATGATAGTGGAGCATCGCTTTGAACCCGTCGATATGGTCGATTGGGTCAGCAATGCCGTCATATTCCTTCAGTTGGGGAGGCTTCTCCATTCCCCTGGGAATGGGCACCTCCATGATTGATTGTGATAAGGGACCGCGGGGGTCATCTTCGTCGCTCCTGTAGGGGGAGTGGGAAGGAGATCGATTGTAGTGGCGGTCGTAGTGATGTCATTGGCCTCAGAGAGGGTCCCTTGGTCGAGGATGCACTTCTGCGTTGCCCCTGTTTCTGGTTTTAGGGGATCGTTGTTCCCTGCGTGGGGGAGGGGGGTGAGGCCGCGTCTCCTGGTAGTCTCGGGCATGGTTCTTTCCAGCGCGGAGCGTCGGCCAGTCCGTCGGGGAGAGAGGCTTCGCGACCTGTCCTGTCTGTGTCTCCGCGGGGGAGATTAAAGACGGTCTTTGTTCTGACTAGGTGGTGGAGTGTTAGGTCTTCTATGTCTTCTGGGGGCTCGATGAGAGTCCCCGAGCACCCTTAGTCGCTCACCTTGCGAGAAGATCAAGTAATTCGTCTGGTTAATAACCGCGAACAGAGCCTTGATCGTGGCATTAGTGTCCGGAGAGACGGGGATCTTCTGGAAAACGTTGGCTCGTAGTTCTGGGGCGGATGGGTGCCCTCGTGTGGTCGAGAGCGTGATGATAAAGAGGCGGTCATGCCGTCTCTGTAATTCTGCGCGAGACCGACCATGTCAACGTCTTTTCTGTTGTTGTTGTTGTTACCCATGTTGTCTACGACGTTGTTGTTGAGGTCGGTGAGATGGGCGTTTAGGTTGTTGTTGGTAGCTGGGTTGGCCATGACAATCAAAAGAGTTTGAAGAATTGCTTTAGTCTTGGGTTAATGAAAGACGGGGAAGCTTGTTTCCCACAGACGACGCCACTGATCCTACCTGACCAAAATGGATCGTCAAGGCCTACGAGCTGTGAGTTGAGCATCAATTGAAAATGAGTTGGGGGGTATCTGTAAGACACTCTGATGCTAAAGTAAAATTCAGGGAGAGTGCTAGCAAGTATGAGAGTGTAAGTATCAAAGAATGAATACCTGACCTTCTCAAGTGAGAGAGTATTTATAGCTCCCGACGTTGGGCCAAGGTCTCCAAAGTTGGGCCACGATGAGGCCCAACAATAAAGATTGTCAGGACTTATGTGTGTATGGAGTTCAGCACGTGGAATCCCTCCTAATCAACTGCCACGAGGGAATAGGTGTTGGATTCGTGATTTCCGGAGGGGGTTATGATGACAATGGCACAAACACGTGGGCCACGTTCTCCAATAGACATGTGGGGAATTGTCCAACAATCTCCAACTTAAACTGCTTGTCTTTGAGCCTTATGCAAGGGTGCTAGATTGGGCCTCCTTATCAGAGGGACAAATGCAGACTCAGTCCAAATTAGTTTCTATTAAGACATGCAGTTTAGTGAAGTTAATTTAATATTTTATTACATATGTACAAATTTATTTTTTAATTTTATCACATGATATTTTTTGTTTTGTCATTAATTAATTAATTAAAAAAATTAACAATCATTTATATATAGAAATAATTTTATTTTTCTTAATTATATTTTTATTATATTTTATAAATAAAAGTATGGATATCACACCATTAACCATATAAACATATGGATGTTAATATGACATGTATATATCATATTCATATTAAGCTGTTAATTTTAATATTGAACAATAACGAAACAAGTTTACTATTGATTTAAATTTTTTTATAATTATTTCCAAAACAAAAATATTATGTATTCGAATAAATGAAATATTGATTCAAATATTTTTATATACGAAAGAAATTGTAAAAATCAATTTATTATCTCATTTAAAAATTATAAATTATTTTGATTAGACGATTTTATCTTTTTTTTCATTTCATCTATATTATATATTTGAAAACAAATGCGCTAACACACACTAGTACCTGTGTGAAATCACGAATAACATATCAATATCGTATGAACACACCGATAATCATACCAAAATCAATATGAACGCACGAATTAAAAATAATGTATTAATGCAAACACAAAAAATGTATTGTTTTTTAATTATTTATGTATCTAATTTTTTGAAATTATTTTTAATTTAGCATATAAGTTTTTTTAAACTAATATATGAATAGTTAAAATATATATTATTAATGTAAAATAATTTTAAAATAATTTTATTTTTATTTTAAAAATATGTCTTTTTAAAAAATTATAAATTATTTTAATTTAAAAAATTATCTATTTGCGTGCATGCATATAACCCCGTCATTTAGATATTTTCGTGATGTGCCGCCGCAAGGAAATCTGATGGACAGGAGCTCCCCACTAAATCGAAAAAAGTCCGCGCCTCGACGGGCTTGATGTTATTGCTACGCTCATTAACCTGCGTGTGGGTCACGCCAACTTTCACGCTTGCTCCTAAGTCCTAAAGTACACCACAACAGCACAAGCATAAATGTTATACAAGCAACGTTTAGATAAAGATCAATACCTAATCTCACCGTCCAATTGATGATAAAAATAAAATCAAATCAAGCCACGTGGCGTGATGTAAAAGTTGGATGTGCTTGATGGATGAGAGCTGCTTTGTTGGATTGGATGCTTAGTTACTTATAGAGATACAAAATTGTCAATTGTTTATGATACGTGCAATAAAACAAGGAAAAAAACAATAATGTAACAATTCCATAGAAATATCGAGGGGCCCATTAGTACATTACCTGGCAATTGATTATTACAACGGGACCAAGATTTATTTTCCATTTATATTGGCATCAAGCTCAATAAATTTATAGGATAGAAACTCCAATAAATCCACGTAACAATGGCAATAATTTATGAACTGGCCACGTCATTACAATGGCACCCAACTTGCGTCATAGGAATCATTTTCATAATCACTATATATATATAAACATTTGTTTTGCAAGTTTTTTCCTTTTTCTGCCGCCAAAAAGTGCTCCCATTAAACTAGAGGTTTGGGGAAATTTTTAAAAGGTTCGCACCCTTTGCTTCCCTCCAAGAATCATCAAGCAAGCTCCTTTTTACAAGCCAAATTACACACCTGCATTGAGCACGTGAGCGGTAAACCTCTGATAACTAACTACCATTTGAAAATTTGATTAATAGGGCAACGGCTATATGTGAAAGGCAAGAGGGAAAAAACACTAACAACTTTTTGAACATAACACATTTCCACCCAACACACAATCCCTTTTCCTAGTATCTCCTCTGTCCAACAGCTAAATTCCTAAAAACTAACCATTGTTCTATAAATCTAAACTGAGGTTTCTCTGCTTCCAATACATGGAAGTCATCACAGAACAAGAACATGATATAATTTATAATGGTGTGCCGTCAATGGTGCTTCTTCGATGGCTTTGTGAGTGCTGCTTCATCTTCATCTTCCTCGTCATCTTCACCATCAGTGTCCCTCTTCCTCTTGGGGTGTGAAGAGGCAGGAGGCAACACCTCCTGAACATCATCGTCATCATCGTCAACTTCCTCCTCCTCTTCACCATCCTCGTTTTCCACTTCGAAAATGTCAGCAGCATCATCATTGAGAGCCTCAGCCTGTCCAACTGGCTGAACAAGATATCCAGCACCATAGTCTTCTTCCTGTAGTTACAGCAAAATTCAAAAGTATGATTAAAAAGGTGAAAATGGAACATAAAAGTGAAAAATAATTCTCCATACAAATACATCAAATTAAATCCATAACAAGTCAAAGTCACAGGACACACGGAAACATAATCCTTCACTATATCAGAATACTATATTGAACATAAATACATGATTTTTGGTAGGAAAACACATATAGCAGTTCAAAATTCAGAAAAAAGAAATTGAAACAATATAACACAAGTCAAAATTCAGAAAAAGAAATTGAAAACATTATACTACAAGTCAAATCAAGCAATTAAGACAAGTCAGAGTAGAATCAGCGTATGAAAGGAACAAAAGCTCATGATTGGCCAATCATGCTTACATATAGTACAAATGTCCCAACCTTGCACAACACACAATCCTAACTGTAACCTCATAACCATCAAACATTCAAAACAGAAGTTGTAATTTACACTAATATAAGATTTCTTTTCATTTTATTTAAAAACAATATAATTGCATCATTTCAATAACACTTAAAACCAATGCAGAGTGTACCCACAATTACGCGAAATCAAGATGTCCAAGCCTCAACCCTACAAGCTCCACAAGAACAAGTAACACAAAGGAAAAAACAGGGCTACTCTTAAAATTCCATGGAAAGCATATTTTAAGAATCTACTATAAAAATATCACCAATACTGTTCTGCATAAATGGTTGGAGGAAATAATTAGTATACTTTATTAAGTGCAAATCAGCTGAAATTTTGGTTTAAATCACACACAAAATACAAACAAAAGTTCAAATCAGATTAGCAAGCATCAGCCAACAAAATAAATACTATCAATATCAAGAGAATCCAGAATTCATCGCCTTTTCTTCTACAATCTGACAATATCAAGCAGAACAAATTCGCAAATCAATGTAACAGAAAAAGCAATCAATTAATAAACAAACATAACAAAAATAGTCATGCATGCAAGGAACAAAAACAAGAGTTTCTGAAAAGAAATATCTCACTTCATCTTCATCTTCAAACTCTACATCATCATCGTCATCGTCATCTTCTTCTACTCCCATCTCATCTTCACCAGTCTCCCCGTTGTCATCTTCATCTCCATCTTCCTCCCCTTGCTCGTGCCCATCGATCTCACCTTCAGTACTCACCAACCGTCCAGAAGTACTCTCCGGTTCAGCAAAATCCCCTTCATCATTATCGACCTCCTCATCATCATCGTCATCATCATCATCCTCATCAAACTCAACCCCGTCATCATCATCATCACTATCATCGATCTCATGAACCACAACCACATCATCATCATCACCCTCTTCCTCGTCAATCTCTTCCCCAGAATCCTCATCATCATCTTCCTCCTCCCCGTCATCACCCACAGCAGGAGCAACATGGAAACCATTCTCCTGATGGTTCAACCCATTCACCCTCCCTCTCGAACTCTCAGTCACCTCCTCATCTGCATCACTCTCCTCTTCCTCATCAGCATCAACAACTCCATCAACACCCTCACTGTGACCATTACTCATCCCAAACGGCCGATCTTCCTCTCCTCCATCAATCTCACCACTCCCAGGATCCTCCTCCTCTTCCTCCTCCTCTTCATCCTCCTCCTCCTCATCATCCGACTCAGGCCTCTCGTTCTCCTCGGCATCCATCTTATCCAAGAACTTAAGCGACTTAATCAAGCCAAAAACCCTAGATCGATAATCCTTAACCCGAGTAACAGCACACTCATACAGATCCAACGAAACAAGCTTCAACTCGGCCAACGGCGCGAGATCCTCGATCGATTGAATCCTATTATTCGACAGATCGAGGTCTCGCAACGAATCAAGCCCCGCCTGAACCAAATACTCAAGTCCTCCGGCGATCCGGTTGTCGGAGAGGTTCAACTTCTGAAGACTCTGCAACCTCGGGAACTGCTCCAGAGAAGAAACACCAACGTTCGCAATAGAAAGGTGTTGAAGGTTCTGGAACCTCTCTAGAAGGCTCGGAGGAGGTAAACGTCCTTGCACACACTTAACGGCGCCGTCAAGCGTTAACGTTCGAGCAGCGGCGTGGTCTTTCTCGCCTTCTAACGCCGTTTCCACAGCCCTCTCCCAGATCTCATCCATCAAATACGAAATCCTATGTCTCATACAAAACCACAAACCAACAAAAAAACCACGCGCTTAGAATTACACGAATATGAACGAACTGGAAATTCGTGTCTGAAATTTCTGCTATCAACGAATTCGTAAGCTCTAACGGAACCCTAACGTGGTTTCGTGTGGGGAAAATACGATGAACGAAATTGAAAATTGAAATCAACGGTTGTGGAAGAGGAACGAAGAGATTGAAATTGTATTGTGAAATTTCGAATACGAATACACTTACTGGTTTTTGCAGATTTTTGTTTGGGTTTGGTTTCTCTCTCTAGCTCTGTTTTATAATTTTCTCTCTCTATTGTTTACTGGTTAGGGCAGGGAAATAGAGGATAAACCTCTCTATGGCCCGAACCGGTTCTGCTCTAGGGTTCAAGTGGGCTCAACCATTGTGGTTTGAGATGTTTTTGTCTTTTTGTGATGAGTACCGTTGGATCTTCAACGACGAGGATCGATGACGTGGAGGGATATTGAATGGTTCAGATTGTAGGGTTCTGTGTTTGTTTAGAGTAGGTTGTAAAGAATGCGCGTCGAAAAAATAAATTGGAAAAATGAATTCTTCTTTTTTTTTGGGTAGATATCTTCAATTATTGTAACAAAAAAATCTTCAATTTAATTAATATTTTAATATAGCAAGATTTTCATTCTCTTTCTGGATTTGAATTTAAATTATATTTATATCTTTTATTATTTTAATTTTTTTAAGAAATCTTGATTTTTTTTAATCAGAAGAGTCTTCATTAATTTCTTTTAAATATTTTGTGTTTTTAGTGTATAATAATAAAATCAGTGTTTTAAAACTCAGTCTAATCCGGTCGGTCGGACCGGTCTGACCAAAAACCGATAGGTCAGGCGGTTCGATTAAGGGATAAGACCGGAATTACATTTAGACCGGATGAAACCGGTGTGAACCGGCCGGATCACCGGTTAAACTAGTGAATCGGTGGTTTTTACTGAACTGGCGGGTTTGGCTATTTATTTTATTTTTTAGAGTTTTTGAAAAAAAAATTAACATAAACGATTTGCCTCCTTGTTTCCCAAACCTAGGCATTTGAAAGATTTTCTTTTTTATTCTGTCTTTTCTTTTTCTAATTGAAGTCATATTCTCAATTTTCTCTACCAACAAAAACTCACACTTGCTGCTGTTATTTGATATTCCTTGTTTGCCGTCAAAAATTTCATCAAAACATCAAAAACAGGTTATTTCTTTTTTACTTGGTCTAATTTGCATTGATGTTTTTCAATATGAATATTATTGTTTCATTTTGTTGATTAATTGATATAAAAAATAAATGATTAAATTTGATCATTTTTTATAAAATTGGGTCTTTTAGCTTAACAAATTGAGATAGAATTTGTATGAATGAAACAATTTTATACTTTTATGAATTAACTTATTATAGACTGGTAATGAAGTTGTTGTATATTGGAAATAGAAATTGGAATAGATATATATTACTGTAATAGTCGTTGTATATATTATGGAAATAGAAATTGAGTTTAAAATTATGTAATCTAAATTATATAGTAAGACAAAGTTTTCTGTTTTTTATTAATTTAAATTATATAACAAAGAAAAGTTTCAGGATTTTATTAATCTAAAATATATAGCAAAGGCTGGAAAACAAAGTTTCTATTTTTTTATTATATATGGTGATGCACAGTAACGATGCTTGGTAGCTTATATGTAATATACAACAACATATTCATATATTTTGGATTTAGATATGCTACATATTTAATGTTTCTTATAATATTTTTATAAATTCGATAATTTTTGTTTAGAATTGTGTTTTGTTAATATTTTTGTAATATAGTTTTGTATTTTTAAATTTTGATTGATATTAGATATGGCATCACCCGCTGAAGTAATAACTTCGAAAGAAGTTACATCTCAAAATCCAACCAAACTCCAGAGCAGTAGGGGGGAAGCTGATATAGCTTGGGGTCATTGTAAACAAATTGAAGAGAAAGGAAAACTTGTTAATTTGTGTATTTACTGTGATAAAATTATTAGAGGAGGGGGGATTAATAGGTTCAAATTCCATTTGACTGGAATAAAAGGTCAAGTTGAAACATGTAAAAAGGTGCCTCCAGATGTTCAATATCAAATGAAACAAAATCTTGATGAAGGTGCAAATAAGAGAAGAAAGACTCAAGCACAAAATTTTGATGTTGATCTTACTACTCAAGAGGGTGGTGTAGTAGAAATAGATGTAGAACAATCAAGATCAAGTTCGGTGGTTGTGTCTCAAAAGAGAAAGAATACTAGTCGTATTGGTAATTATTTTATGCCTAGAACAACTCCTGGAGCTCAACCTTCTTTAAAACGTGTGTTACAAAGTAAGGAATTGATGGAGAAGTGTGATCTAGATATTGCAAGATGGTTCATTGATTCTTCTATGCCATTCAATGCAACTAATTCTGCGTATTTTCAATCTATGGCTGATGCACTTTACAGCATGAGTCTGGGGTATAAAGTTCCAACTATGCATAGTCTTCGTGGCTATTTGTTAAATAAATGGGTTGAAGATGTGAACAAATTGATAGAGGAGTATCGTGAGATTTGGAAGAAAACTGGTTGTACTCTAATGGCCGATGGATGGACTGATCGAAAAAGAAGAACTCTTATAAACTTTCTAGTTTATTGTCCCAAAGGTACTATTTTTCTAAAATATGTTGATGCTTCTCATGCTTCAAAAACTGCAAATATGTTGTATAAGCTTTTTAGAGAGGTGGTTTTATTTGTTGGGCCTAAAAATGTAGTTCACATAGTGACAGATAATGCTGCAAATTATGTTGCTGCTGGAAGGTTATTAGAAAATGAGTTTTCTACTTTATTTTGGTCTCCTTGTGTGGCACATTGCATTAACTTGATGTTGCAAGACATGGGAAAATTAGAGGAAGTAAGTGAGACAGTGTCATATGCTTCTAATGTTACCAAATATATTTATAACCATTGTTATGCATTGTATTTAATGAGAAAGCAAACAGGTGGAAGAGAAATCCTCCGTCCTGCTCCAACTCGGTTTGCCACTAATTTCATTGCTTTGCAAAGTATTTTGTCTCACAAAAACTCACTAAGAGCCATGGTAACATCTAAAGAATGGACAAGCTCAGCATATGCCAAAGAAGCAAAGGCAAAACAGTTTGTGGATCAAGTTTTAGATTCTGAATTTTGGAGTAAATGTGCTGATGTAGTTAAACTCATTGAACCACTTGTGCGTGTGTTGTGTATTGTTGATAGTGAAGATAAACCTGCTATGGGCATTCTATACAAATCTATAGTCAAAGCTAGAGAGAAGATGGTGATGAGGTTTCAAATAAATAAGAAAAAAGTGGATCCTTACTTGAAAATCTTAGATAAACGTTGGGATTCACAGCTCCACAAAAATCTTCATGTTGTCGGTTATTGATTGAATCCAGCTTGTAGATATAATGATGTAGAATTTGAAAAACATGCATCCACAACATCAGGACTTTTAGATGTCATTGAAAAGCATGTTAATGGAAATTCTGAACTTCGATTGAAGTTAACAGATGAGATGAGAATATTCAAAGACGGTGAATTAGATTTTAGAAGGAAATCAGCCGTGGATGAACGATATATTGTGAGGACAGGTAATTTCATAACTTCTAACTCTTAATATATATTTTATTTTATATTTCAATATGTTTATAAATTTATTTAATCACATGGTATAAACAGATCAATGGTGGGAAACTTATGGCACTTGTACACCAACTTTGCAAAGGTTAGCTATTCGTATTTTAAGCCAAACTTGTAGTGCTTCGGGTTGTGAACGCAATTGGAGTATATTTGAGCATATTCATTCCAAAAAAAGAAATAGATTGGAGCACCAAAAGCTTAATGATTTAGTGTTTGTTAGTTACAACTTTAGACTTCAAAATAGGTATTATTATGGTTATTTTTCTCTGATCATTATATTTTTATATTTAAATACATATACTTAGATTTAATTCATGTTTGCTTAGGAAAATAAGAAATGGGAGTTATGATCCTATCAATATTGAAACAATTGCCGACCATTCTAGTTAGGTATTAGAGGATTCACCACCTCTCTTAACCAATGAAGAGTTGGAAGTATTATGGAATGATCTTGCAAATATGACCATCTAACCAATTTCAAGTGATATTGGTATGTTCTAATATGAGCATAATATAGTTTGTGGTTGTGAATCAATTTAATGTCTCATATTTACCATCTCTAAAAAAATTTTGTTAATTATTTTTTAAAATATTGTTATAGATCAAATAGATTTAGATGAGGATGAAGATGAAGATATGGGTAATGCACAGATACTATTGTTGATACTGTGAATCAAGAAAAAAGCAACACCAGAGAAGATGAAGTTGGTGGAGAAGACAATGAAGTTGAAGATGGATATGAATATCAAGATTATGACAATTTGACTTCATGGACATAAAAAATTATGGATCGTTGAGTATGGATTATTGTGACTTATTATAATACTATAACTTATGAATTATTAAGTTTCTATCACTTCTTTGAATTTATAATTTGCTACATTAAGTTTCTATCACTTATTTTGATTGTTACTAATACTTTTGTTTATTCTAAATTATTTGAATTTATAATTTTCTATATTATTATAGTTACAAATTTCAGGTAATGAATATTTTTTATAGAAACCCGGGTCAAAAGCCATGGGGTCTGACTAGTGACCCACTGGTCCGACCAGTAACCCAGTGACCCAGTAACTTTACCGAGTCGATCACCAGTATGGGTTTTAAAACATTGAATAAAATAGTGGATTGGCTAATGTGAATTAATATGAATGACTTTTAAAGCTGGTGTAGACCAGTGAATTATATAGATTTATGATCGACGGAGGACAGAGTCAGTATTCTTCAAATACGTTGTGTTGGGTGAGATTATGGAATAAGAAAATCGTTTAGAAAGGAGTGAATAAACTTAAAACAAAATTCAATAGATTTTCCAAAAAGGACT